CCGGGGGGGGGGGGGCAAGCGCCCTCCTTGACCCCTCCCTGTGGGCGCCCATGTATGAGAGAGTTTGCAATGCTATTGCAGATTTAACAAGTATTGAAAGCACTACAGACACTTAAATGTTATTCTTGAGATTGAAAGCGTCATTGACTCCAGTGAAAGAAGTTTACCATGACTCAAACTGAATTGTCTCTTTTTTTTAGTGGCTCGAGACAGGGCCCTGGGCACAGCTGACAAAGGGGCTCATTGGTTTAGCCACGAGGGCCCTGAGCCTATTGCCCACATTGCCCTCATGGATGGATAGGGTGGTACCACCCTAAGACAAGAGAGAAGAGGTATGTAGAAATCAGTGCACTTTTGAAAATCATAAAACACAGAAACATTTTTTTTTAAAAATAAGAATCTGATAGCATTAGCTTTAGGTTTGTATGGGTAATATATGCGAGAAAAATCAAACGTTTACATGAAAAGACATAACTTCAGAAGAAGCTGAAGATGACATGACATATTCATTTGATATTATGTTTGGATTTGATTTTACTTTCTTCAAACTAAAATGTAAAATTTTCCTTTTAACGAGTGGCAATAAAGATTCATGTCTTTATCAGATTACCAACTGACCCAGGTTGTATTTGCGGAGATACAATCAGACAGGGAAAAAAACTTTGGGACCTGTCACCTGTCTTATAGTTTACGAAAAGTAGAAAAAAAATCTTAAAATGGTCCATGGGTTGTTTCAATCAAGGAATATAGATTCGGGTATACCCAATTTCACACAACAAAATTAATTTTTCCAAATCTATACATAGAAGCCACGTCATAGTCGTTTCAGTTTCGTAAAGCAGTGTTTAAAAAGGCTCCCGTGTGTACACCACATTTTTCTCACAGTCATCAACTCATTCAAACTACTTAACTGTTATTCAAAGCAGCAGATTTTACTTCATCAGTGCTATTACAAGGTAAGTTGTTTTAAACGTTATGAGCTATTAAAAATTATCTATACATTGGACTAAAGGGACTTGCGCCGATTTACATTAAAATATTTTTTTTTAAAAATTCACATCAAAGGTAGATTCTTTTCTAAAAATATACCTTTTTTTTTTTTTTGCCGATCCAAAGTAAAAGTATTTTTTCAAATCATTATTATTGTGTAATTAGTTATAGCCCGCCAATCAATGTGAACTTCCCATCTAATAAAGTTATTTGTAAAAATATGCTCATTCACGTTATGAACTTTGTAAGAATCCCATTTAGTGCTACCCCCTCGCCCATGAACGCCATCACCTACTTTTTTTTACGCCCCTGAACTATATTATGATAATGTCACCTCTTATTACAACCCCAAGATTTATCCTATCATATCTAAATTAAGACTATTTCCTTAAAGCAAAAGAAAATAGTACGCACCAAAGAAACTAGCGATATTTCTAGGAATTTTAGCGCAGTTCAGGGATTTGTTTTTTCCACACTGTTAAACTAATCATTACACCATATATTCCTTCATACGTTGATATTTGTATTGATTGGTGCTAAATAATTAATGTATTAGTTATTGTATTTGTATATTGTTTTGAAATTATTTTTTTTTAATCTGAAAAATAATGAATGAAACAAAATGTTAAATGTTCACAGGAAAATGCCCCCCACAAATCAGCCACACCAGAATGGCGTTCATGGCAGCAGGGATTCTCATGTCCCCAACGGTCGCCCTACGCCCATGGAAGTAGAGAAAGAGAACGGACTGACCATCACAGCGTCACTAAGTGAATCTTCTCGTTTTGCGAGGAGAAATCAACCAGTCGGTTCAAGTGTATGTGTTACCGTTAGTCCAAGGCCTGGGGAGCGACCAACTACACACACGGTTCTCAAACAAGGCAACGGAGAGCTGAAAGTTGTCGAGAATAGGCCCCACGCTTCAAATGTCCAGGCAGCCGTCAACAGACAAGCTGAAATCCTGGGGACAATTACAATTGGTGAGACAACTGATACTTTTGGAGGTGGGAGACCAGTCATTCCCCAACAACCCTGCACTTTTCAAATATTTGTAAACAATTTTGCTGACAGTAGAAACTATACATTTGAAGTACAGAAAAGTTATAGAGTTGACAAGCTGATGGACATGATTTTTGACAAGTTGCGCATTACTAAGGATCAGCAACATTTGACCTATGCTGGGAGAAACCTGGCGGCTCCAATGACCCTTGAGCACTATGGTATCAAAAAGGACACTACCGTGTTTCTGACCGGTCGCCTCCGAGGTGGTTAGAAAATATTGAACATAAAATAATTCATCAATGAGCCCTGGAAATGTTACCACATTGGAGGTGTTTAAAAAGTGTTTGTCTCAGCAGCAGCAGAATGGCGCGGTAAATGGACTGAAATATTTAGAAAGAAAGAAAAAGAAATTGACGTGGACATAAAATACGTCTTTTTGTATTGAAATAATTTGAATGTAGATTTGTAACTAATATGATGGACGATCCGAAGAACGTGACATGTATTACACATTAAAATGAATTAAGAATGTGAAGCTGTACTGTTATTGTCATGTAATTTAGTTGCAAGAATTGGGATCGTGTTCCAACAATAGAAACGACTCTGATGAGACACTCTGCAGTAAGGTCAGTAGCTTCTGGTGCCACAATATGCCATGACAGAACATTCATCTTAAGTTCATCAATTTGATGAATAGCAAAATTTTAACATATACATTGTTTTGCTCTAATTTGAAGTGGAGTGAGCTTTACACAAACTTAAAGACGTATCCACATAAAAATGAGAAGGGGACGGAGAGTACGCTAATTGAACAAGAAAGCAAACAAAATATGTTCTCCACCTTTTAATGATATTTTAAATATCAAAGAGACGTGTCTGTGTGTGTGTGTGTGTGTCTGTGTGTGTCCAACCCTCCAAACCCTTACTTGAATGCCCCCATCACGACACTTGAACATTTGATACTTTGTAAGCTTTATTGAGGGCAACACGAAAATGGCAGGAGTTCGTTTTGTTTTTATACAAATTGTATATTATTATTATTAAACTCTAGACTTATGTATATTATTACTCGGCCTGTTTGTTTTGATTTTATTTCTAGAAAATTTACTTAATTTATATACCAGGACTATTTTATTTTTAAAACAATTTTTTTAAAGTTTTATTTATTTATTTTTTGTATATATTGTTTTGTAATAACTTCATTTCTTTTTAAAATTACTTTGTATTCATTTGACCATTAATAAAAAAAAAAAAATTCTAATCTAAGCAAAAACTTGTCTTTACAAAAATTGATATTGCTTTAGATCAGCTTCAAGCATGAGAATATTATTTAGTAGGTCAAGCGTATCTTTGGGTCACTAGACCACGCCTCTTTTCAAATAAATATCAAAACAATTTTAGATCAAGGTATTTTGTTGGATTCTTTCACATTGTTTTTCTATGTGTATGTAACCGTGTGTGGAGTGACATCTGAGAGTTTTAAATATATTTTGGTTCATAAACTCAAGATATTCAGGTCCTGAGAACTATAGTCTTTGATTTATTCTTAGAATGCTGTACGAGATGGAGTGGTAGAATAAAGAAACCGAATAAAAATCTAAAGAATTAAAAGAAAAAGGGGCAATATCTGGAAAGACAAAAATAGTACAGGTTAACAATGTCCTGGCTGACATTTAATTACACAGCTAACAAATAAACACGCTGAATAGCTCTGTAATTACAGGTTATGACAAATCTACTTAGCATACGATGCAGTTGTACGATGACCATATATAGGAGCTTTCTACAAATGGCTATTTCAATTATTCTTTTAACAATGTTTGATTATAAACCAAATCATGTGCCATGGTTTAACTTGTAGCACGTCCACCATCTTAATATTCAGAATCAATGTGGGATGTGAGGGCTAACATACAGATGTTAGATGTGACCGCTAACATACAGGTGTGAGATGTGAGGGCTAACATACAAGTCTAGAAATGTGTTAATTTAGTACTGTCGTCCATGTAGGTTGTCTATATATGATGGGCCCATAGCATAGCAGGACAGTAACTTCAAATGTTTAAAGTATACTGTTGTATCAATCGCGTATCAGCACAATGCAATGTGTGTAATCAGAACGATGTATGATTAGCATTTTTCTGACGTACAAATTGCTCTGTAATTCAATATAAAACTTCAGAGTACTGTTGTATTTCAACCACCACAATAGCATGGTGACGTCACTACGGTTGTATTTCAACCACCACAATAGCATGGTTACGACACTACGGTTGTATTTCAACCACCACAATAGCATGGTTACGACACTACGGTTGTATTTCAACCACCACAATAGCATGGTTACGACACTACTGTTGTATTTCAACCACCACAATAGCATGGTTACGACACTACTGTTGTATTTCAACCACCACAATAGCATGGTTACGACACTACTGTTGTATTTCAACCACCACAATAGCATGGTTACGACACTACTGTTGTATTTCAACCACCACAATAGCATGGTTACGACACTACTGTTGTATTTCAACCACCACAATAGCATGGTTACGACACTACTGTTGTATTTCAACCACCACAATAGCATGGTTACGACACTACTGTTGTATTTCAACCACCACAATAGCATGGTTACGACACTACTGTTGTATTTCAACCACCACAATAGCATGGTTACGACACTACTGTTGTATTTCAACCACCACAATAGCATGGTTACGACACTACTGTTGTATTTCAACCACCACAATAGCATGGTTACGACACTACTGTTGTATTTCAACCACCACAATAGCATGGTTACGACACTACTGTTGTATTTCAACCACCACAATAGCATGGTTACGACACTACTGTTGTATTTCAACCACCACAATAGCATGGTTACGACACTACGGTTTTATTTCAACCACCACAATAGCATGGTTACGACACTACTGTTGTATTTCAACCACCACAATAGCATGGTTACGACACTACTGTTGTATTTCAACCACCACAATAGCATAGTTACGAAACTACTGTTGTCTTTCAACCACCACAATAGCATGGTTACGACACTACTGTTGTATTTCAACCACCACAATAGCATGGTTACGAGTCAAACTGACTCAAAAGTGATTTTAACACCGACTAATATAATTAATGAACAGAAAACTGCCATTACTGAAACGTACCAAAAAAATGCAATCTACAAACACAGAAATATAAAGGTGTATTTGCTTCTACTTACAAAGCGCCCACACGGTGCCGGTAAACAATAGAGCACTTTAGGGATGCTATTCTAACTTTGAATGATCAACCTTTGCGCACTTCCAATAAATAGAGGCACCTGGACGAGAAATTTTCAGACCACGTCATGTACTCTGGCAGACAAGCCGTGTATTCTGGCAGACAAGCCGTGTATTCTGGCATACAAGCTATGTATTCTGATAGACAATCCACGTATTCTGACAGACAATCCACATATTCTGACAGACAATCCACGTATTCTGACAGACAAGCCATGTATTCTGACAGACAATGCCGTGTATTCTGACAGACAATGCCGTGTATTCTGACAGACAATCCACGTATTCTGACAGACAATCCACGTATTCTAAAAGACAATCCAAGTATTCTGACAGACAATGCCGTGTATTCTGACAGACAATACACATATTCTGGCAGACAATCCACGTATTCTAAAAGACAATCCACGTATTCTGACAGACAAGCTGTGTATTCTGACAGACAAGCCGTGTATTCTTACAGACAAGCCACGTTTTCTGATAGACAATCCGTGCATTCTGACAGACAAGCCCTGTATTCTGAAAGACAAGCCGTGTATTCTGGCAGACAAGCCGTGTATTCTGGCAGACAAGCCGTGTATTCTGGTAGACTCACTGCGGAAATTTTTTGAAAAATTGACAATCCTTATAGACTCCAAAATCGAATAAAAGTTGTTGTTTTTTTAAATGGACCAAAACATTGAAGACCTATATATGTGTCTGTTATGGTTTAGTCTCGGCTATCTAGTATATACTTTTATACTTATTTAAGTTAAATGGTCTTTGAGATTTATTAGAAAGAAAGGTTTGGGACCATCTCTCCACCTTACCTGGATGAATGTGGGGGGAAAAGCTTAATTTCTTAATAATACAATATCCTCTCAAAGATGTAGACTTGCAAATATACTATAAGATATTGAGAATAAAAATCCGCTTTCTGGCAAGATTAAATATATAGCATAATATCCTAGGGGCCCCGAGAAATAAATTATTGAAAGTAGACAAAAGGCAGAACTTTTGATTGCCTATCTAAGCCTGGTCTGACGGTGGGAAGAGAAAGTTACTAGTGATAGTATCAGTAATCAGTAGTTTTAGGCCACGCGGTTAGTACTGAGAATGAGACAAGTCTAAGACTTCAGTTAAAAGTTACAGTGACGCTCGAGAGTCCAGCGTCTGAAGTCTGTGCTGTAGATTGCTTTCAAAAAGTGCTTTCTCGGATAGCAGCTTCTTTGCCCAAATGAAATAAATATTTAGTAGTTTAGTTACTAATTTGGGAATTTTTGCCGCGCCCCACCCCTCCCCCCCCCCCCCCAAAAAAAAAACAACCATTATTTTTTTTTTTTNATCGAATAAAAGTTGTTGTTTTTTTAAATGGACCAAAACATTGAAGACCTATATATGTGTCTGTTATGGTTTAGTCTCGGCTATCTAGTATATACTTTTATACTTATTTAAGTTAAATGGTCTTTGAGATTTATTAGAAAGAAAGGTTTGGGACCATCTCTCCACCTTACCTGGATGAATGTGGGGGGAAAAGCTTAATTTCTTAATAATACAATATCCTCTCAAAGATGTAGACTTGCAAATATACTATAAGATATTGAGAATAAAAATCCGCTTTCTGGCAAGATTAAATATATAGCATAATATCCTAGGGGCCCCGAGAAATAAATTATTGAAAGTAGACAAAAGGCAGAACTTTTGATTGCCTATCTAAGCCTGGTCTGACGGTGGGAAGAGAAAGTTACTAGTGATAGTATCAGTAATCAGTAGTTTTAGGCCACGCGGTTAGTACTGAGAATGAGACAAGTCTAAGACTTCAGTTAAAAGTTACAGTGACGCTCGAGAGTCCAGCGTCTGAAGTCTGTGCTGTAGATTGCTTTCAAAAAGTGCTTTCTCGGATAGCAGCTTCTTTGCCCAAATGAAATAAATATTTAGTAGTTTAGTTACTAATTTGGGAATTTTTGCCGCGCCCCACCCCCCCCCCCCCCCCACCAAAAAAAAAGCAACCTGTTATATTTTTTTTTAAATTGAAAATCCTCAGGTGTCAGGTCTATTCCGGGCTACTTGTTCTAGGTCAAACTAGTTCTGCTTACTGTACAATATTATTATATACTATAGCTGAGTTTAATTTACATTACTAGGATATAGAAAATTAAAGTTTAAAAATGCATCATACCAAGTTGAGTTGCTTTAGATCAAATTTTAATGCTAATTTTATTTTAGTTCCCCATATTAGGTACTGCAATAAATATTTTCCTAGGAATTCATATTTTTGTTACTGATTAATCTGATAAAGTGTATCTTTTACTTTGCACAGACATTCACAAAAACCAGTTGTGCGAGATAAATGTAAACACACAAGAAAGGATGCATTTAAGTGTGCAGAATTTTCAATCAAGGACATGGTTGATTTCATTGCAATGTTTTATAGTCACACAACTAAAATTGATCAGGACAATGTTACAGGAAAGTTTATTCAAGTTGTACAGAAACAGACCAAACAAATACCGATAACCGGTAATGAAAAAAGAAAACGAGTGAGGAATGTATTTGAGACAACATTTTTTGTTATGAATTAGGCAAAAACAAGGATACGTGTCTGCAAGGCGTTTTTCTTTAAATTGTTAGGTAGTGGACGCTCTCTGCATAGAGAATATTGCCAAGAAAGTTCAGCTTCGTGGTGATTTATTAAAAGAAAAACGAGGGGGTGACAAAAAAATCCAGTATGGGCCAAAAAGACAAGCAGTTCACTAAAGCCACTATGGACGACTTAAGTCAAGGAAAATGTATCTTCCATCAGAAATGTCCTCCATAAAATAATTGTGGAAAATGTATCTTCCATCAGAAATTTCCTCCATAAAATAATTGTGGAAAATGTATCTTCCATCAGAAATGTCCTCCATAAAATAATTGTGGAAAATGTATCTTCCATCAGAAATTTCCTCCATAAAATAATTGTGGAAAATGTATCTTCCATCAGAAATTTCCTCCATAAAATAATTGTGGAAAATGTATCTTCCATCAGAAATTTCCTCCATAAAATAATTGTGGAAAATGTATCTTCCATCAGAAATTTCCTCCATAAAATAATTGTGGAAAATGTATCTTCCATCAGAAATTTC